GTCCGGTGCGCGCGCAACCCTCTGCGGAGATCGTGCGTGTCGAGTGCACGAAATGCAGGCGAGAGTGCGATTCGTCCGGTGCCCGCGCAACCCTCTGCGGAGATCGTGCGTGTCGAGTGCGCGAAATGCAGGCGAGAGTGCGATGCGTCCGGCGCGCGCGCAACCCTCTGCGGAGATCGTGCGTGTCGAGCGCGCGAAAGGCAGGCGAGAGTGCGATTTGTCCGATGCGCGCGCAACCCTCTGCGGAGATTGTGCGCGTCGAGCGTGCGAGATGCATGGCGAGAGTGCGATTTGTCCGGTGCGCGTGCAACCCTCTGCGGAGATTGTGCCTTTCTAGTACAACTTTAGTACGCGGAGCAATCTGTGGAGCTGGGCCTGGCGACTTTGTAGTGCAACTTGAGTACGCGGAGTAGCCGGGGAGCTGGAAGATGAGAACTGGCACTTGGTAGTACAACGTTAGTACGCGGAGTAGCTGGGGAGTGGGAAGATGAGAACTGGCGACTTTGTAGGACAATTGTAGTACGCGGAGTAGCTGGGGAGCTGGAAGCTGAGAACTGGTGACTTTGTAGTGCAACTTTAGTACGCGGAGCAATCTGAGAACTGGCGACTTTGTAGTACAACTTTAGTACGCGGAGTAGCTGTGGAGCTGGAAGCTGAGAACTGGCGAGTTTCTAGTACAACTTTAGTACGCGGAGCAATCTGTGGAGCTGGAAGCTGAGAACTGGCGACTTTGTAGTACAACTTTAGTACGCGGAGTAGCTGGGGAGCTGGAAGATGAGAACTGGCGACTTGGTAGTACAACTTTAGTACGCGGAGTAGCTGGGGAGTGGGAAGATGAGACTTGGCGCCTCAATCGGCGCGGCGCCACAATGAGCTTCAGCCTTTACACTCAGTAAACAGCCTAGCACAAGAGACATCTTAGAGGTTTCTCGCCAACCCTCTTGTTTTTCTCGCCAGGTGTACTCTTCTACAAGAAGGCGAGGACGGGCGAGGGCCGAAGACGAATACCACAGTGCACACGATTGTACACTGTCAGTGATACTTGGAAACTGGGGTTCCGGTGCTTCGCAGCCAGGCACTTGTAAGCACACCTCGTCGTCATTCCTCTCGCCAAGCCGCTGTGCCATGACTGCCCTGCGCCCAGTGGCTTGGGAAGCGTGGGTCGCGGAAGCGAAGGTTTGGTTGCGCCTACATCCGCGCGAGGACCATCGCGGAGTGCCACGCGAGGAGCGCCAGCGATATTTTCCCAAGAGGGCGGCGTTTGCGCTGGTCACTGCGGCTGGCTTGTTCGTTTGCACCCTGTGCGACGCCGATCACCTTGTCTGTCGACCATGCCAGCGTCTTGCATGGGCGGTCATGGGAAGCGGCCCGCGCCGCGAATACCACACCGCCCCATTGCATCGAACTCAGCGGCTACCACGACCAGACTGGCAGGTTTGTTCAAGTGGACCCACCGCTCCGCATCCCACTGGCGGACGTGTCAACAGATGGCACCCTCGACGCCGCCCAGTTGGCCCAGATGGTCGCCGCCGTGTCTCCGGAGAGGACAATGCAGTGAGAGTCTCCCCGACGCAAGGTGTCATCTAGATGTTCACATGGTAACCAACTGCATGTCTCATACCATGAATTCTTCCTCACAACTCCTGTGTGGACGTCGTTTTGCGGAAGCACAACAAGTACTAGACATAATGTCGGGGAGTCTCTTCCATATACAAGGGCTAGTCGCGAGCTGAACGGCCAGGGTGCACTAAAACATGCGCAGTGCCTGCTGTGTGTCACCTCGTGCTGCTTTGTCGCATTTTTCTGTAGGAGAGGCGATTAGAAAATGAGCAGCATAGTGGTTCTTAACTACATCTAGAGCGAAGCACATGTCACCCTCCGAGCGCCTGCGCCAACAGACTGTGCATTTTCCGTGGCTGACCTTTCGGTGCTCACAGTGACATTGCAGAAGTCTCCATACAACTTGGGCCAGCTACCAAAATATCAACTCAACAGCAATGAAGAATATACTTGCAAGAAGTTTGAACGCACCCCACAAGCTTTTGCAACATTCATTTCCCACATAAACCTTTACAAGGCAAACAGAGCCTTCTTATGGCTATGCGTGTGCTATTTACCAATTTGCAGCCCACTAGCTCGTAGGTCTCCCTCTTTGCCCAGCCATCATGCCAGGGAACCTTGGCATTGTTGACGACCACTTCTTCAGCATCACCCATGATGACCAGAGACAGGTGTGCCTCTGTTGGTCCTATGGAAGCAGGACATACCATGACAACCAGCCAGACCAAACCAGTCCATAGAAACGGCTGCCCATGGAGAAACCTGGCAGTTTTGGCAAGTGATCAGGTGGTCCAGTGGATGGGAAGACTGGGTGAGGAATAACAGCCGCAACTTCACAGATGCCTACACCATCCAGATCTGCTTCGGGTCGACGCGCTAGACTCGCTGGACCCAGGCCAGGCAAATACCCTGAATGGAGATTAAACAGTAATAAGATGTTCACATGATAACCAACTGCATGTCTCACACCGTGACTTCTTCCTGACAAATCCTGTGTGGACGTCGTTCTGCGGAAGCGCAACACTATCTTTTCTGTGTACAAAGACTAGTCGCGAGCTGAACAGCGAGAGTACGCTAAAACATCTACAGTGCCTGCTGTGTGTCACCTCACGCTACTTTGTCGCGTTTTTCTTTGAGACAGTCAATTAGTCAATGACAAGCATAGTGGTTGGTTAACTACATCCTAGAAAAGCTGTGTCCTGGAGTGAAGTAAACGTTACCTCTGATCGTATATCGATGGACGCATCTCCTCTGACAGGTCACTGCTTCGAGGCACTTCTTGCGTGGCCGCCTCAGCATTTTCTGTGTTCATTCCAGCTCGCTTTTTTCTTTGAGATTTCCTGCAGCCGTGCACGCTGCTTCTCCCCTTACCAGCAGCTCAGTCTTTCACGACGATGAGCTGGGCTGTCACCACTTGGCCGCCGGTGGGGGGTTTGGGAGGCCTGCGCGCTACTTCGTTCACTCTAATACTGGTCGCGAGCTGAACAGCGAGAGTACGCTAAACATCTACAGTGCCTGCTGTGTGTCACCTCATGCTACTCTGTCACGTTTTTCTTTGAGACAGTCATTTAGTCAATGACAAGCATAGTGGTTGGTTAGCTACGTCCTAGAAAAGCTAGTGTCCTGGAGTGAAGGAAACGTTACCTCTGATCGTATATCGCTGGACGCATCTCCTCTGACAGATCACTGCTTTGACACACTTGTTGCGTACCTGCCTCGGCACTTTTCTGTCTTCATTCCGGCTCGTTTTTTTCAGTGAGCTTTCCTGGAGGCGTGCACGCTGCTTCTCCCCTTACCAGCAGCTCAAATGCTCATGACGATGAGCTGGGCTGTCACCGCTTGGCCGCCGGTGGGGGGTTTGGGAGGCCGCATCACACACAGACACCCACGCACTGCCTCAACTTACACGAACACACACACATACACAGACTCATATACACACGGACATAGATACACACACAGAAACCCACACACTACCTCAACTCACTCGACTTAACACTTCACACTGCACACTGAACAGATAACTCGCACTCTGAGTTCCTACGTGCGTCGTCTAGTTCCTAGTAGCAACGCCCTTTGCTCCTAGTAGCGTCCATGTTCCTAGTAAGGCCAGGAGCCCCTAGTAGCGTCCCTTGCTCCTTATTTGCTCCTAGTACCGTCCTTGATCCTAGTAGTAAGGCCAGGAACCCCTCGTGGCGTCCCTTGCTCCTAGCAGCAACGCCCTTTGCTCCTTGTAGCGTCCTTGTTCCTAGTAGTAAGGCCAGGAGCCCCTAGTAGCGTCCCTGGCTCCTAGTAGCGACGCCCTTTGCTCCTAGTAGCGTCCTTGTTCCTAGTAGTAAGGCCAGGGGCCCCTAGTAGTGTCCCTTGCTCCTAGTAGCAACGCCCTTTGCTCCTAGTAGCGTCCTTGTTCCTAGTAGCAAGGCCAGGAGCCCCTAGTAGCAGGAACGCCCTTTGCTCCTGGCCAGGAGCCCCTAGTAGCGTCCCTTGCTCCTAGTAGCAACGCCCTTTGCTCCTAGTAGCGTCCTTGTTCCTAGTAGTAAGGCCAGGAGCCAGTAGTAGCGTCCCTAGCTCCTAGTAGCGATGCCCTTTGCTCCTAGTAGCGTCCTTGTTCCTAGTAGTAAGGCCAGGAGCCCCTATTAGCGTCCCTTGCTCCTAGTAGCGATGCCCTAGTATAGCGTCCTTGTGCCTAGCCAGGAGATGCTCCTAGCAGCAACGCCCTTTGCTCCTAGTAGCGCCCTTGTTCCTAGTAGTAAGGCCAGGAACTAGCTTCCTGGCTCCTAGTAGCGATGCCTTTTGCTCCTAGTAGCGTCCTTGTTCCTAGTAGCAAGGGCAGGAGGCCTAGTAGCTTCCTTGCTCCTAGTAGCAACGCCCTTTGCTCCTAGTAGCCTCCTTGTTCCTAGTAGTAGGGCCAGGAGCCCCTAGTAGCGTCCTTTGCTCCTAGCAGCAACGCCCCTAGTAGCGTCCTTGTTCCTAGTAGTAAGGCCAGGAACCCCTAGTAGCGTCCCTTGCTCCTAGTAGCAACGCCCTTTGCTCCTAGTAGCGTCCTTGTTCCTAGTAGTAAGGCCAGGAGCCCCTAGTAGCGTCCCTTGCTCCTAGTAGCAACGCCCTTTGCTCCTAGTAGCGCCCTTGTTCCCAGTAGTAAGGCCAGGAGCCCCTAGTAGCGTCCCTTGCTCCTAGTAGCAACGCCCTTTGCTCCTAGTAGCGTCCTTGTTCCTAGTAGTAAGGCCAGGAGCCCGTAGTAGCGTCCCTTGCTCCTAGTAGCGATGCCCTTTGCTCCTAGTAGCGCCCTTGTTCCTGGCCCTTTGCGCCTAGTAGCGTCCTTGTTCCTAGTAGTAAGGCCAGGAACCCCTAGTAGCGTCCCTTGCTCTTAGTAGCAACGCCCTTTGCTCCTAGTAGCGTCCTTGTTCCTAGTAGCAAGGCCAGGAGCCCCTAGTAGCGTCCCTTGCTCCTAGTAGCGATGCCCTTTGCTCCTAGTAACGTCCTTGTTCCTAGTAGTAAGGCCAGGAGCCCCTAGTAGCGTCCCTTGCTCCTAGTAGCGATGCCCTTTGCTCCTAGTAGCTTCCTTGTTCCTTGTAGTGAGGCCAGGAGCCCCTAGTAGCGTCCCTTGCTCCTAGTAGCGATGCCCTTTGCTCCTAGTAGCGTCCTTGCCGCCTCAAAACATGGTTGAAGATGGTAAGGCCAGGGCACACGACACTTTTCCACGCAGATGGATTCTGATGCAGCGCCATTTGCGTTGAACCACGATCCCAACAGACCGATCCCAAAGGGAGGTGTCTGCTGACACCATGCAACTCCTGTACTGCTACATAAATCCAAAATCAAAAAGAACCAAGGTCCAGAGAAAAAGAGCAAGTCTAAAGAAGAATGACAAGATACAGAAAACATAACAAGTGCCGAAAGACACGCAAACAAATTGCATCCTCCTGGTAACTGGTATTTTGGGTTTCTGTTTGGTTGCTATAGATGAGATTGCTGTGTGCAGATCGGTGTCCTCAAGGATCGCGATGATCGCGATGACCGGCGCCGAAATGATAGCTTTGGCGGAGGCGGTTTTAGTTTTGGATATGTTCCCAGATTGTATTACGGATCATCGATTCTCGTCCGCATCGTTGTGATCTTTTTTTCCTCGGCTTGGTGACATATACATAGCGGAAATTTAGACTATATAGATGAAACAGGTCATGCACCACCCCCCGTTTTTCCTTTGCTTGTCAATTTTTCACTCAGTGCTTGGTCACGTGTGCATGTCACGAAGCTAGAGATAGCCAGCTGAATATGTTTTTGCTCCAGCAAGCCGGAGGAAGCCCCAGGCCAACTTAGTGATGCTTTTCTTCCTTGAAATGTTGAGGCCTTTCGATGTGTTCTACTACCGTCCACACTACAGCTATGACTTTTTTCACCCAATGGGCTTCCTCGAGTCCGTCTACAGCACCTTGGTTGGAGGCCATCCCTAGGTTGGAGACCATGGCTATAAGGTTGGTGAGCGGGCTTTAAAAACATGGGTAGTAACAAGAAGCTAGTAGTAACAAGTGCATCGCTACTAGTAACAAGTGCCTTACTAGTAAAATTAACTTAAATGAAAGTTAAAATTAACATTCAATTAAATTAACTACTACTAGTAAGGCACTTGTTTCTACTAGTGATGCACTTGTTACTATTAGAAACAAGAAGCTATAAGGTTCAGAACTCCGAGTTCTCAGGGCTGTTGATCATCCCACTAGTCCGGCTAGGCTCGTAGCCAGGGAAGCATCGCTCCATGATGCCTGGAAGTTGCGTTGGGAGATGGCCGAATTGCTTCATCTATTTTTGCATGGGAGAGTGAAAGCACTCTGTCTCTGACTTTGATCTTAGGCTTTGTCTTTGGCGATGGGGATCCGAACAGTGGCCGTGCCATGTCATGTTTGGGAGCCGCAGGTTGCATGGAGCTGAACATGAACCGTGGCAAAAAAGCATTGAACGAAGTAGCGGCGGCACTACTGAAAATGACAGACGAAACAAGCTGTGGAAAGGGACGGGCAGGCTGGCAGGGTGCATTGAACACGTGAAACAGGGCTTGCCGTTGTTGGAGGCCATCTCTAGGCCTTCGCTTGCCGTTGCTTCATTTTGCACGTCAAGGTGAGCAGCGGCAACTTGCAGCTGTTGCCGCGGCTGCCCGGCGGAATGGCGGAGTCCTGACGGCTGAGCAGATGGCCCCATTGTTTCTGGGCCGAAGAGAGAACGCGAAAGGGAGAAAAAGGAGGACAGATCATTGAAAAAGAAATAAGGAAGGACAGAAAGAAAGACCAGCCTAAAAGAAGACAAGACATGGAACAAAAACGCAAACAGTCTTCATTTTCATCAGTGATTATAGGCTTCAACAGAGCCACCTCCCCAACAGTCTCAAAGCGTTCTTGTAAGAAGTGCCTCTACTACCTTGAGGGCCCAAGGCTGCCTTTTCCATTTTGAACTTTGGACCTGCCATCATCTAGGTTGGAGGCCATTGCTATTAGGTTTTCTTTCTTTCTTTAGACCTTTGGACCTGCCTTTCCTTCCGTATATCTTGTGGTCTTGTCACTTGCGGTTTCACATGTCGACTCCAAGGCTAGACCCTCCTGAGCGACCCTCAGGAGACAGCTACAATGCTGCTAGGTTGCAGAGTAAGCTGGCTCCCACTTCTTTTTGCTTGAGTTTTGCTTCTCTTTAATTGCAATTCCAGGTGAATGAAAGCTGGGTGCTGCCAGCCATTTCCCAGCTCAATGGCCGACCAGAAGTGGCGAAGAATGGGCAAATCGCCCAAGCCTTAACAAGGAGTGTAAGTAGCCAGTCACAGTTGCATTGTTTGGGTGCCAGTCATGCCCAGGTATATGTTTTCGATGATCTTCAAACCACTGCAGGCAAGAGTTTCAACCAGTTCCAATTACTGTATTTTGAGCTCCAACTCGGACGGAAGTTGTCTTCCAGGTGAGACTGGTCGCGGCGAGGTGCCGGACATCTTGGAGGAGACTCGATGAGACTCGTCTTCTTCTTCCTTCCTTTCTCCCACCCTCTCCTTTGCGTCGCGCTCTTGTGCAGTGACAGTATTGCCTCAAGTGTACCTGCCCACACGTCGGACAGATAATTTGTACATTGTATATATTGGTATTGATTTGTCAGAACACTTTCCGAACACATGTCAGAACATGTGAGAATGAATGTCAGAACATATGCCAGAACAGTATGCCAGACTTGATGTCGGAGCACAGCAAGACACATGTCAGAACATCAAATCAATATGGTGACTTCCCAGAACACATGTCAGTATGTCATGCTCACGACCTGGCACTAACTCATTGAACATGCGGGTGCACACATGGCCATTCAAGTCGACAGAGCTAAATGCCAGAGGCATATGCCATATATCCATGCACCAAGGAACGAAAGGTGCTACGAGAGATGGCGTTCATGTGCCACCCCAATCCACTACTGCAGACTACTGCAGCCTCCGTGACACCGCATCCTGGAAACTTGCTTGGGCGGTGTCGAACCGGGCTCATTGAACAGAGCAGTAGTGCATACACACACACATATATATATATATGTCGAAACACCGGTAGCCGACCGACTCCAGTCGATCGAAAACCCATCGGGCGATCCTTTTCAGCTCCAGCCGATGAATGGCCCTGCGGATACGACGATCGATATGCTTGCACCTGGAAGGAAGACATGGTTGCGGCACTCATGGAAGTCAACACGGCTTTTAAACTATAAAAAGTTCGAACCAAGGCTTCTCTTGACAAGGCTTCAACTCTTACGAATTGAATCTCTACTTATAGGTGCGAGGCACATCGGTGCCGGGGATCTTTGGTCCCTCCCAAGCGGCATCTTCTGCTGCATCACGTTCGGCGATGAAACGGCTCAAATAATTTGAAAGATCAAGCAACAGGCCTGACGCTGATCGCTGACGTGCCGTTACCCACTTTACATATGACTTGGCTCGGTCTTCGGGTGAGCGTGCCAAATCATGGTAAGTCATGTTCAAACCTTTGTACTGTCCGAACTGGATGACAGTGCGACCCCATTGGTGCATGTCCATCACATCCGGAGGCAACGTTGGCAGCATACTTGAGCTCAAATCTGAACCTGGCATCGGAGGTGGAATTCCTTCGGTGGCAGCATAGGATCCTTCCATGGAACCTGAGGCCTTGAACTTGGGATGTGCTGATGGACCATATCCACGTTCCTTCTTCGGTTGCGGCGAGGCTGCTGACAACTCCTCTCGACGTTTGGAGGCGTCAGTCATCGATCCAGAGAAGGGAATCAAGCTGAAACCTGAGTCTGGGTCAGCAGCTCCGGAAGCAATACCTGGTGCATCGATTGGCAGGGATGGCATCACCTGGTCTGACGACGCCTTGGCCATCAGATAGCGAAGCTGTGCTGCTTCATCGGGAGTGAGCGGCATGTCGGTATGCCTTTCAAGAAACAAATGCGGCGCGCGCTCTTGATCACAAAAGGCTAAAATAGAAAACGACTAGTGAGCAGGACAACAGCTAAGGCTGCCACCCTGTCCCTGGTCTGAATGAGGAACTTCTTTCAAGACCGATCACAGCAAAACAATTTGACAACACACTCGAAACATTGTGACACGGCTGCATGCTATGACAAAACTGCTCAGCTATTTACTGATGCAAGAAAACGTATAACACAAGAGCTTCAAGACACAGTATTCCCTGTAGTCTACCGATGACTACCTTTCTTACTGCAAACTCTATGCCCTTAAACAACCACTATAGTTGCACTGAATTATCCATGACGTCGGCTTTCAAGCTTTTCCTTCGTTCGCGTTCTTCAGCTTGTTGTCTGAGAACCGTGTCCTCTGGAGAAATCTGATATGCCCCTTGACGGACACAGGATCGAAGCAAGTCAATTGGCTCTTGGCTGTCTTTGGTCAAGCCATCTGCCAACATCCACTTCGTGGGAAGTATCACTATATCAATACATGTTCTTCGATCTTCTATTGACGTTGGTGATGAGGGGGAAATCAGGTGGTCATACAATGACTTACAATCTGTGGCCAGGATGGGTGATCGTTTCAATACAAGGACTGGTGGTCTCTTCTGCAACAGGTCTCGTGCGTCTCTTGCCTTGAAAGGGCCATCCAAGGTCTCTGAAAGGAGGAGTGACAGCCATTCTGCCGTTCCACTGGCAGTTGACATGGCTTGGCTTTCACCTCCTAAGGTGGAACTCACGGCCCTTGGCAACTTATAGCTTTTCCAAGCCACTGGCGTCCATGGAGACACCTTGCCGTCATGCAACTTCTTATGAACAAAAGCCAAGACATAACCAGCTTGTGTGTGTGTGGGGCTACCTACGTTGGCGAACGCTGCATCGCTATGACAGCATATTGTCAGGGACTCAGGTTCAATGGATCTAAAACGAATTTTGAGGTCCTTGAATTGTTTGGCCCTTCGAATAGTGTTGTTCGCACTTCTGAGATGTTGGATGGTCGGTTTAGGTAGGCCCTGTTGACACATGCTTGTTTGGCATGACAAGTCGGGACGGCTTTGCGATGACAACCAGTTAAGGCTACCGTTGATTGCTCGGAGGACCCTAATTAGTTGTTCATTGAGCAACTGATTGGAGGAAACACCTTTGGGGATGTGAGCTGGTCTCAAACCCTCTGCAAAACTTGCCTGTGACATCTCAATGTCAAACGTCTTTGGGCATTGATCATACATGGCACCACAAAATTCACCATTGGATATCCTCCACTTCCGGTATGGGAACCTGGCTTTCAGTTTCTCTAAGGACTTTTCAAACAGGGGTCCCTCACCTCCTACTGCGGTGTCGTCGACATGAACGCCGAGCACTCCCAGCAAGCTGTTGCTGTTGGGACAACGCAGTGTGTACAGGCATGGATCGAGGATCGATCGGTTCCAACCTGCCTGAGTTGCTTCACGATCGAAGGTGTTATGCCAAGCTCTTGGAGCATCGTTCTGTCCGTATAGGTTTCCGACTACTTCGATGACACAATCTTCTGGAACTCCAGGGATGCCTCCTGGTGGCATTTTTGCGTAAAGAGGTCTGAACTTGTCTGGGAGTTCGCCTGCTTCCAAGAATGCGCCCTTAATATCGCCTAGCTGTAGGACCCACTTATGAGAGGCAATGATCTGCATCAGAACCATCCTACCTAGCTGACTGAGGGTTGGTGATTGAAGCAACCCAGATGCAGCCTTTTCTTCCAAGTCAGGATCTAAATGTCCCTGAAGGACCCATCGACTCTTGATTTTGAAAGTGGATGGATCACTTGGATCAACGCTGACTCCCTCTTGTGTTGCTTTTCTGATGATCACGAACCTCGATCCGATGAACCGGTCTGCGAAAGACAAAAGCGAGCACATCAACAAGAAGGAAGGCAGAGTTTCTTTGATGGGCATGCGGAGGCACTGCAGGAGTCGTTTTTGCATTGGCACACGCCTGTTGACATTGTCTGACAACATGTCGAGTTTGCTGGCCTTCACAAAAGGGCGGTCCAAGAGTTACGGACTGAACCAATTGGTCCGGCGGAGCGCCGCCTATTCAATAGCAGGCCGGGTGCAATGGTGCATCCGACATGTTAGATCTGATGACAATGCTTCCGATGAGAGCAGCAGATGGCATGATCCAGGCGTGGCAAGTCGCTGGCGCAAGCAGCTCCTGCCGGGCACTAGACAGGATGGAGAGACACATGCAACCGGAGTTTCGCCTGATATACGGCTGAATACACAGCCGATGCGTGTTGAGGATGTGAGCAAAGACTCGGGGTGGAGCAACAGCAAAATGAGCAGTCAGGTTCCAAGAGCATTGGTGGCATATTTACCCCTTTTTGTGTTGGAGCTTTTTTCAGGGAGCGGGCGGTTGACAACAGCAATCAGAGAGACGGGTTTGGCGGTTCTGCATCCCTTTGAGATTTAACCAGGGATGGGAGTTTGACCTGACAAGACCGTCGACTCAGGCCTTGGTGCTTCAGCTCATTCAGAAGGGGCTGATCTGGTACATCCACGCAGGAGTGCCTTGCACTGTTTGGTCGATCGCTCGGAAGGGAATTACACAACATGATAAAGCTCGCGCTCGAGAGGCTGTGGCTGTTGAGTTGACAATGTTTTGTGTAGCTGTGTTTAGAGCAATGAGCAGGATAGGTCGGTTTTGGAGCATGGAAAACCCCGCAACATCAAAGATTTTTCAGCTTCGACCGGTGGTAGAGCTTTTTGGACTTCCCAACGTGCAGTTATTTACATGGGATATGTGTGCATGGGGTGAGCCTCACAAGAAACCCACATCCTTGCTAACTAACATGCCTGCACTTTCAACTCTGGCCCAAAGATGCAGTGGGGATCACAAGCACGTGATCCTGAGCGGTCGTGAACAATACATTGCAACTGATGGGGGCGTGAAATGGCGAAATAGAACATCAGCTGCCGGTGAGTACCCCTGGTCGTTGCGCAATAGGTGGGCTGACACATTGTTCAGTCATGCCCCTTACATTGCTGGGACCGAAGACACAACAGGATTCGCAGACCTTGTTCACGAACGCCTCAAAGAGATTGCTGGCAAGTGCCCCTTCTCCAAAGGCGTCGAAGAGGCAAAGAACCACCCAGATCTCCAGCCCTCAGATCAACCCCTTCACCGCGCCAGAGGATACCGAAGGCCAATCATCTTTGGTCAACACACTAAGGAAGAAGCGGCCTGGCTCCGTCGACAAGGCGCGTGAAGCAAGATCTGAACGGCGGCAGAAGTCAACAAGCCAACTAGAAAAACACTTCAAGTTGGAAGACCAGTTGAGATTGAAGGCAGTGACCCAGCCCACATTGAGAAGATACATTGAATCGGTGCATCAGTTCAAATTGTGGGCGAAAGCCAGCCGGCGGTCCTTGGCAACTGCCCATGCGGTTGACAAGGCCATGAGTGTGTACCTTCTAGATTTGTACTACGATGGAGCTCATATCTGGGAAGGGACATATACAGTATATGGATATCAGTTTTCATACAACAGTGGTGCAGATGCAAACTACTTGCCTGGAGCCAAGAAGGCCCTTAAGGCCTGGCGCAGACGGCAGCCCTCGCAGATGAGAAAGCCGGTGCCAGAAGAAGTAATTTTTGCATTGAGTACTCAGTTGTTGAACATGGGACATATAGACACGGCAGTGGCGTTGGGCATCCAATACCATACATACATGCGGCCTTCTGAGGTGATAACACTGCAACACCTCCAATTGTGCCCCCCTGTTCGGCGAGCGATGCACTCCTATCCTCGCTGGGCTGTCGTTTTGGCACCGGATGAACTTGGTGTCACAACAAAAACAGGGGAGAACAATGAAAGTGTGTTGATAGACAATCAGTATCATTCCTGGCTGTCACCTGTGCTGTCATCCATTTACAAGCGTGGTTCAAAGAGTCGTGTTTTTCCACAGCTGACCTTGCACAAGTATGAGGAGCACTTCAAACAAGCTACACAGGCTCTGCAGTTGCCACTGGACCTGACACCTCACATTGTTAGGCATAGTGGACCAAGCAATGATTTTTATCATCGACGGAAAACTTTGAAACAGATTCAGAGGCATGGTCGTTGGGCAGCTGAGAAAAGCGTGAAGCGATATCAGAAGAGTGCATTGCTCATGCAGGCATGGTCGTTGATGGAAGAATCCGTACAGAACAAAATCATACAAGCAGCCCGCTCCTTTCCACCAAAGATTTAGCGTGCTGTACACGGTTGAACCAGCAAACTGTGTGCAGTTTTTGGCACAGATATGGGTTGAGAAGTTCCGCTGACGCGACAAAACTCTGTTGGCACTACTCGACGAAGCCATGAAGGCAATGGCTGAGCGTCAAAAAGCTCGCTGGGCAATGGTGAGCGATGGAAGGGATTGTTGAATCTGCTTGCAGGTGGATAATCCATGATGAGAGGAATTTGCCCGCTAATGTTTTTGAATGTTCAAGCACTCCCCGCCCTGGGACCCATCCCTTGAGTGGGTTGAGAAGTTCCGCTGACACGACAAAACTCTGTTGGCACTACTCGACGAAGCCATGAAGGCAATGGCTGAGCGTCAAAAAGCTCGCTGGGCAATGGTGAGCGATGGAAGGGGTTGTATATATATATATATACATATATACATACATACAATGTATGTAATATTTATCTAAATTAGTGATAAACGCATGCAAATACAAGTAAAAGTGCAAAAAGGGTAGGTACAGGAGGGGGGCCCACCATATATATATACTGTATATTCTTTCAATTTAAATATGTGTGTACCATATACATCTAGTTCTCAAGTGGAAAATAGTGGCGCACGATTGTTTCGTGGGTCAGTCTCAGAAGATTTAGGAAGTTGAAAAGAAAGACCGCAAGGCAACAACACTTCGGCAAAGGCATGACGTCCTCGACAAGAGCCATATTTGAAGACCGTATTCAATTCTTGTACTATATAGTTCCCGTTCAAAAGTTGGAAGATGGTAAGTGATCAGAGCAAGGCAGACTGTGTGCCATACTGCGTTGTAGTGTTGTTTTTTCGTTCGGGCCGTCACAGTGCTCACAGGAGGAGGAGATTCCGTTTTCCTACGCAGATCGTGACCAGCTTACGTTGGTGTGCCTGCTAGGCATGGTGGGCCAACGGAGTCTAGAGTATGTTAGTAGTAGCGATGCACTTGTTCCTAGTAGCGTCCTTGTTACTACTAGTAAGGCACTTGTTACTAGAAGCGTGGCACTTGTTACTACTAGCTTCTTGTTACTACTAGTATTCTAGGTTTTTCGCAGATGTCAACCGGGTCTTGGGCATGCAGGGGTGGCCAACTTGGTGGGTGCTGCATCTTGGCCGACGGAGAATGGATGTGGTCCGCCATTGTCGTTTTGAAGAAGGGTTGCATTAGCACGGGCTCCAATACCATGCCACGGCGTTTGCCCAGGCTTACTTGGGTGCAGCGTTTGCTGATGTGGGCGCTGAGAAATTGATAGGCCGGCTTGCAGTTCCCAAATGCAAAGGGACCTGGCGTGTATGTGTATGGTGTGCTGAATGTGTCAAGAAGATTAGACTCGCCAGCCAGCTTCAGGTTTTCTGGGTGCTGTGAAGACTTTCTATCCAGCGTTGCTCTCATATGCAGCCGGATCCTCAAAGTGAACACTGCAAACGTTTTCCCTTGCAATTTTGGACAATTCTAATGGCTTGCAGGTGGGTTTCTTTGCTGCTCCTGCTATCCGATTCTTTAATTTGAAAAGAATCAACAGCTCCTTGACAGGCAATTAGCCCAGCTGGAGACCCCAATAGCAAGATACAAACCGGGACAAAAAGAAAAATCTGGAAACAGCTGCTGTTTTCAACACATCCACCATCTCTTTGTTGGACACCATCACAACATAACCGGGACACCATCGCAAAATGGCCAGGGCACCATCAAAACATGACCGAGACACCGTCGCAACATGACTGGGACACAATCAAAACATGATCGGGACACCATCACATGATCGGGACACCATCAAAACATGACCGGGACACCGTCACAACACGACCGGGACACCATCAAAACATGACCGGGACACCATCAAAACAGGACCGGGACACCATCACAACATGACTGGGTCACAATCAAAACATGAACGGGGCACCATCAAAACATGACCGGGACACCGTCACAACACGACCGGGACACCATCAAAACATGACCGGGACACCATCACAACATGACCGGGACACCAAAACTTGACCGGGACACCATCACAACATGACCGGGACACCATCAAAACATGACCGGGACACCATCACAACATGACCGGGACACTATCACAACATGACCGGGACACCATCCGCCCACCAGCTCTGACGGTGGCCCGACGGCGCTGGTCCGCCTATTAGTTTTGCAAGACCCCATAGCATGGCTATAGGGGAAAAAGGAAGAGGAAAAGGAACAAGAAAAGGAAGAGAGAGAGGAACAGGAAAGGGTAAATGTTTTTTGGGGGGAAAGGCAAGTGCGGAAACAAAACCTAAAGACTAAAACTGTGGGAAAAAAGTTTTTTCATGAGGAGAGTTGAGGAAGCAAAATCTAATGACTAAAACTGTGGGCAATTTGTTGGTGAGGAGAGTTGAGGACACAAAATCTAATGACTAAAACTGTGGCCAAAACTTTTTGGGGTGAATGAAAGAAACGAAGCAAAATCTATTGAATAAAACTGTGGGCTAAAATTTTTGGTTAGGAGAGTTCAGGAAACAAAATCTAATGACTAAAGCTGTGGACAAAAGTTTTGGTGAGGAGTTTTTGTCCACAGCTTTATTCATGAGATTTTGCTTCGTTACTTTCATTCACCCCAAAAAGTTTTGGCCACAGTTTTAGTGATTACATTTTGTTTCCTCAACTCTCCTCACCAAAAAATGTTGTCCACAGTTTTAGTCATTAGATTTTGCTCCGTGAAATCTCCTCACCAAAAACTTTTGCCCACAGTTTCATTCATTAGATTTTGCTTTCTTACGTTCATTCACCCCAAAAAGATTGTCCACAGTTTTAGCCATTAGATTGT